CGCGAGCTCCAGAGCAGCTACCACAGAGCCTGCGCGGGACCCCCCCCGCCCCCCCCCGCGTCGGCGGGGCCGGGGGGGGGGGGCCCCCCCCACCCGTCCCGGGGACCTCCCCCCCAGTGCCACATAATCTGTGCTGACCACCCCCCCCACCCCCCCTACCCCCGGTGCCACATAGTCTGTGCGGGGACCCCTGGCCATCAGGCTGCTCCACATGCCAGGTGTGCCCCTGAGAACTCCCCTCACACACAGGGCCAGATGCTCTAAGAGGTGCCGGGAGCCCCACAGACATGGCTCTCACAGACACGACCCCCCATAGACGTGGCTCTCATAGATGTGGGACCCCCCCCACAGATGTGGCCTCCACAAATGTCAGGTGTGTCTGTCACACATGTGCCTCCCCATAGATGTGGCCCCCACAGATGTGGCTCTCACAGACACGGCCTCCACAGACATGGCAGTTCAGATGTGGTCTCCCCACAGATATGGCCTTTATAGGCGCGGCTCTCGTAAATGTCCCCCATATAGATGTGGCCCCCAAAGACACGGCTCTCATAGATGTGGGTCCCCCACAGATATGGCCCCTACAGATGTGGCTGTCACACACGTAGGCCCCCTCCATAGATGTGCCCCCCTACAGACATAGCTCTCGCAAATAGACGTGGCTCCCCCAAATGCGCTTCTCACAGATGTGCTCCCCCACAGATGTGGCTCTCACAGATGTGGGCCTCCCTGTGGCTCTCACAGACATGGCCCCCATGGGCGTGGCTGTCACAAACGTGGGCCCCCTCCATAGATGTGGCCGCCACAGATGTGGTTCTCACTAATGTGCCACCCCACAAATGTGGCTCTCACAGACATGGCCTCCGCAGACATGGCAGTTCAAATGTGGTCCCCTCATAGATGTGGCCTTCATACATGTGGCTCTCATAAATGTGCCCCCTCACAGATGGGGCTTTCACAAATGTGAGCCCCCCCAAATATGTGACCCCCACAGACTTGGCTCTCACAGATGTCGTCCCCCCCCATAGATGTGGCCCCCCACAGATGTGGCTTTCACATACCTGCCACCCCCCCCCACCCCCCACCCCGAACGTGGCTCTCACAA